TCCTCGTGCGAGAGTGGGGCAGGTGGGAGGTGGGAAGAGGGGCGTGTGGGGGAGCGTGGCGGGGCGTAGTGGCCTGGAAATACCACCCGCGCCACAACACAGAGCCGCCAGTGAGATTGATGTCGTCGGAGCCCAGTCCGGTCAGCCCATCGGCTGCTGCTGCAGGGCGCGGGCGGGAAGGGAAGACCAGAGGCCCGGGTCCAATGAGACAGAGAGCCGGGAGGAGCGGAGGCGACACGAGGAGGAGGCGTGACGGAGTACTTCTCGAGGGAACGGGAAAGACAAGGCCCCCGTGGAGTAAGTCCTGCAGACCATGGGCCACCGCCGTAAGCAAAAGTATTTTTGTATATAAAACAAGATGAGAATAGTTTGTGCACACGATAGCAAGTCCCGGGCGTGTTAGACCGGACCGGACCTATGGTTCGTGGTTCGCCGCCCATCCTGGGTCAGCCTCGTGTTTGAGCGGAGCCTGTCTTGTTACCGAGGGATTGGTTCCGACCCTTCTATACTAGTACGAGCTCGCGCGCGTGTAGGTGAGTGTAGGAGTGTGTGCGTGCGTGTGTGTGTGTGTGTGTGTGTGTGTGTGTGTGTGTGTGTGTATTTTAGAGGATGAGTGAGTGTGAGTGCGCGTGGTGGAGCCGACCCACCGAATCGAATGGATTCCCCCGTAACAAGCATGCGTAGTCGAACCCACCTACCCCCATCAGGTTATCCGGACAGCGCTGGCCTTACTCGACGGGAAAAAAAGACAATTGGGAAAAAGGGGGGGGGGGAATAAAATGCATGTTTTAAAAATGCCGATCTGGCCCCCTTTGACACCATGCTCCTGCTCCTCCTCGCCCCTTTCCACGACAAAGACCACGATGCCTTGTTGGGTTGAGCATGCCACCGCAGCCCAGTGCACTTCGGTGCACGCACACGTGCACAACACACGCACACGTGCACAACACACGCACACACACACTGAGTGCACGTAATCGGCCGAGTGGTCCTGCACTTACGCCCTGCTGTGCTGATATGAACTGCACCCGGCCCGGCGAACACCCATTTCGCGTAATGGAGGGAGAGAGAGAGGCTCGGGTGTTGCACAGAGATGGCCTACATGAAGGGGGAGAGGAGGAGAGGAGGAGGGGAGGGAGGAAAGGGGGTGGGGGTAGAGGAGGAGGACAGAAGGAGAGTGGGGGTCAATACCGCCACTTCCCCTCGTTTTGTCCAGACGGCTGTATCGGCTCTAGAAGCCACCGGGCGCTGCATTTGGCCCCTTCAGCTAGCCCGATAACTTATTGCCAAAGTGTTTTGTTTTCAACCTGAGCACCAAACCGAACGCCCCGCCCGTCCCCGACTCAAAGAGAAGGCGTGACGGCCTTGGGCGATCAGCGGGCCAACGGTGATCAACCACGTAAGCGTACGCGTGTCCCGGGGTCCCGTGCCACCCCTTTGCCTCCGCCAGCAGCGCCAAACGCCGCTCGGGTCCGCCTGGCGCCGCGCCGCGTGGCAGACAAACTGCTGACCGGACCGAGTCGAGGGTCGCGCCGCTGCCAAGTCCCAGGGCTAAAGGTGTAGAGCGGGGTGGGTCGGTCCTGGCTGTCCTCCTGTGGGGGGGGGGGGCATCCTCTCTCGACCGGGGGCTTGACGAGAGTGAGTAGGAGGCGGCGTGCTTAGAGGTCAGTAAGGGCGGGTGTGGTGTGGAGGTTGATTCGAGGTGATGTAGGGTTAAAGACAACAAGCAGCCAAGGGGTGTACAGATATAGGGGCGGGTGTTGTTGTACAGCACAATGTATACACAGGCTGGCGGCGCCGCCGCCCTGGCGCCGGAGTTAACAAGGTACCCGTCGCCGCCGTCGCGCGCCGTCAGTGTGCATCGACGACGACGGTAATTATTTCTCCGAAACGCCGCGCCGGGACCCAAAACACTCAGACAGTCCGGGGTGTGGCGGCGGCGCGGTGCGGCGGGGCGAGGCGCGGTCGTTAGACCCCCACCCGCGGGGGCCCACCACACCACGGCGCGCGGCGCGCAGCAGAGCAGAGCAGCGAGGCGAGGCCCGCGGGGTGGGAGATTACGAGAAGACGAAGACGGAGCCGCCGCGGAGCGGGTGTAATGCCCTCGCGGGGATAAGGCGACTTAACCCACCCGGGCCGAATCCAATCTCCACGCCGACGACTCCTGCCGCTCTGGCGGACGAGATTGCCGTCCGCGGCTTGCACGGCACGTCTCTCACCTCAAAGCCGGCGCGCCCGCCCCTTGCTCCCCTACACCGCCATGGACAACTCGGTCCACAGCCTCACTCCGCCTCCGCCCCGGGCGCCGGCGGCCGGGCTGGGAACGTAAGCCAGCCGGCGGCGGACAAGCAGCTTGCGGACAAGTACGCACTGGGGCCCCGGGGGCGCTGTCCCTTACCAAAGCACACGAGGCCGGAGCTCAGGAGGGGGACGGCCAAAGCCTTCCGCCGCCGTCCACCACGGTGTGACGCCCCCTGGTGCCCTAGCTCCTCCAAGTCCCCCCTCCCCCCGTCCCTCACCGTTACAGAAAAACTCAAGGCAGAAAGAGGCAGCTCTTTCCCCTCTCCCTTGCTGCCCGAGTGGGCCGTAATACGAGTTCCCTGGAGGACCATACAACAGACCCTACGCTGACCGGGGAGAGCGCTCCGTCTCCCCTTAGCAGGCAAATGACGACGGAGGGCAAAGTTTCTCTCTCTTTCTCTCTCGCTCCTGCGGGCGCGCTGCTGCCGCTGCCCGAGCACCAGGCCTCCAACCACCGCCCATATCGCAGCCCCACTGCTCCACTTGCAAAGTCAACGGTCACACAACTTTCTCGGATATACACAAGACGAGCACCCCATCCCCCCTCCCCCGCGACGTCGGGTCCAACTGCCTAGCTGGCCTTGCCCCCTTCTACCCGCACAAGGCCGCCGCCGCCGCCCTCATCCGCTCGCGGAGCAGCCCTTATCTCTCGCTCTATCTCTCTCCCTCCTTATTAGTCTCTGTGGCTTTATTCCGCATAGAAAAAACACACAGAGGGAACAAAAAATAACACTCAAACCATTGCCGTGGATCTCCAAGAAAGAAATATATGGAGAACGAAAAGCGACTTGCTCATGCGCTGGGAACTATGGGCGACGCCGACCTCGACCCGGGCGGGGGTCAGGGCGGGGCGTCGTGGCCGCGCGTCGGCCCGGGGTCAGCCACCACCACAGCGCTGCCCTGCCGGTGGCAGCTGCGGCTGCAGCTACCTAACCCCAGGTGGGAGACACGCTCACACGGAAACTTTGTGGTCCTTGTTCTTGTGGTGCGCCGCTTGCGCCGCCGACGACAACCACACCACACCGCACAGCAGAGCGCTCTAACGCGCACGACGGAGCTTATCAAGTTTCACTTACTACTTCTTGGCCTGCTCGGGGCGTGCGGTGCGGCGCGGCAGGGGAAGCACCAGCAAAGACTTCTGCCTGCCTGACGCCCGCCGCCCGCCTCAGTTTCGCAGTTGTCGCCGGCCAGCAAGTGAGGGGTGGGGGGGGGGGGGGGGGAGAGGAAAGGGAGGCTCCTGCCTCTGTCACTCTGTCTCTCTCGCACTCGGGCGGCGGCCCCTCATCTCGAGAGCCCCACCCCACCCTCGTCTGTATAACGCGCGGCATTACGAGAACCCTTGTGGCGAAAAAGCCCAGCCCGACGGTCCGCCGGTCCCAGCGCCCAGCCGTCAAAAGAGCGGAGGGAAGTGCCTGTTTGCTCAAGCAACACGCCTCATGTAGTGCCCTTTCGTATGTCGGCAGGCCGCGCGTCCCCGGGACCGCCGCCGCCGCAGCAGCAGCAGCGCAGAGACGCCGTTTTCCTGGTACGGCCATTCAAGAGGACCCGCCGTTTGTAAGTAGCAAAGACTGGAACAACGTCAATAAACTCGAGCGTGCGCGGCTGTTACTTTCGACTGCTTTCGCTCGCCCCTGTGAAGCTTCAAGGATTTCTGGGCCGGTCGTAACGTTGAACCCCTTTTTGCCTGTCAACAGGACGACACGGCCGCACCATGCCGGTCGGGGGGCGAGTTTCCGGGAAGGTCGGCATCTACTCCAACGTCAGGCGGAGTGAGTGCGATTGCAATTGCGAGTCCCGCCCCCGCCTGAATAAATTGACCGCGTCCCCACCACCCCCCATCGGTCTGATTGGCCGGTCTGGGACAGCCAGACAGCACGTCGGCGGGAGCCAGCCAGACCCCGGCCCGCCGGTCGCGGTCGAGCCAATTTCGGCTCCTATCAAAACTTGTATCAATAATTTTTGTTTCCAGTATAATAGAGTTTTGGTATTGAAAAAAAAAACTCTCTAACCCCCACACACACAGACGAAAAAAAAAAACAAGTCAGTAGTGTGTTTCTGTTTTTAATGACATCCCGTGATTACAGGTGGCCACCACAGTGGCATCAACGAGGAGATCATCTGGGTGAGCATCGGGATGGCGGTGACCATCGCCATCCTCATCACCATCGCGCTCTGCTACATCGCGCGAGAGAAGTGGAGGCGGCACAAGGAGCTGCGCAAGTCCAAATGAGAACTGCTGGGGCGGACCAGCAAGAAGTCCGCCCCGAAGGCCGTGACCACGGTGACGACCCCCTGCGGCGTGGGCACGACGGAGTGCTACCCGGTCCTGGTGATCCCGCCGCCGGGCGCCGCCCCGGGCGTGCCCGGACAGTTCCGCCGCGGGCCCGTCGCCGTCCCGGTCGCCCACAACCACAGCAACCCGCTGGGCGCGGCGGCCGCCGCCGTGGCCGCCAACCACAACAGCGCCGTCGTGGCGGCCAACGCCAACTGCACGACGCCGCACCGCGCAGCCGCCGCCGCGCCCACCCACCGCACGCCCGGGGGAACGCCCGCCAGGACGCCGACGACGAGGACTCCGGCCAGGACGCCCGTGCGGACGCCCGTGCGGACAGTGCACAACAGCGTAGCCGCCTGACAAGAGTGGAGCCCCGTGTACTCGCACGGGAGGTTCTCGCCGCCCTGACGGGATCCTGGACAGGCGGGCCAAGTCAGACAAGCGCCGCGGGCAGGCTGACGCTGGCCCAGCGGAAAATGCAATCAATCTTACGTTAGATACAAGATTCTGAATTTTGACGCAAAAAGGTCCCAGTATTTGGCGAAATTTAGACCAGTTCACGTCAATTTGATGTAATTTTGATTGGTGGTTGGTCGCTCGGCTGGAGGACGATGACGAGCAGCAGGAAGAAGCTCCTTGTCTCCAAGTGGCTCGGATCGGACCCCCAAAAGCCCAGCTAACCACCACACCAAACTTAGCGACGTCACGAGGTGCCCCGTGTTTACCGATTACATTTAAAGGAATAATGAAGTCCAACTCACCGTATTTATTATTTTCTGGGTGATAATTGGTAATAATTGATCTCTCGGTCGCAAATTCTGAAGGATCACCGTAGCACACACAACACTCGCCCCATTACACTGTTACTCGTCGACGTCGACTGTGTTTTTCCTCTCATCCGTCCGCTGTATTTCTCATACCGCCGCAATCGTCATCAACTTTCATGATCAGTTGTCCGTGAGCGGGCGCCGTCACCGGATGGTTGCGTATCGTACGAGTTCGCGCCGCGCAGCTTTTTAACTCACTCGTTTTATTTTTAAATTTTCGATTAAACAATAACAATGTATTGTTTCTTTATATTCATCGTCGTTAGTGGCGTTTTAGTGTTTATAAAGTGTGCAAGTGGACCAGAAATGAACTTGAAAAATGGCATTGTGATTCACAGATGCTGGATCTTGTTTGGTAAGAGAACATATGAATTTGTTAAAGTGATCGTGTTTCATTTATTCTGCGACGGATCAAAGTTAGAATTAGAATCAAATTCTAGTAGTATAATGATGAAAGGGATCATGTGCATATTGTGTACTTTCGGTACGGACAAGTGTGTATGCTAACCCCAAACCAGACCATAATGCCCTCTGAATCAAAGTTGTATTTCAGATTGACTATTATGCAAGGTGTTGGTTGGTTAGATTGTGAAAGACCTTATTATTTTTTTATTACAAAGGTTTGCTTAGTCTTTAAAGAAGTTGACAGGCCTGGCTAGGCTGACTTTCGTGTTACAAATATACACCATAAGCACTTTTGTTAAATCGTTTTTAAGTTAATATTTGATTGAACTAAGGCTCAAGCCAGGAACGATATCTAAACGAAAAATATTGCTTCGAACTGTTTGGAACTCTTCGGTTTGCAATGTTAGTTGATTTGTGCGTTAACATTCTGAAGGACCTTATGCTAATGTGATGGATCCTCGAGATTTGTCAAAAAGTTTTCAATCGTAAACCCTTAAAGTTGGTGTTTGTTGGACCATTTTATCTCATGTTTTTGTCTTTTTATTTATAAAGAACTTTGAGTTAAATTTTGGGAAAATTGATAATAAGTTGTAACCATCAAGCAATGACTGCCGTTACGTTATCTGGCTTGTGTGTTTTCAAATGCAGGGTTCTCTTTGATTTACCATTGTCTTTTAAATCCCAACAAGCTGTGTGTTAATGGACATTTGTTACATAATTGAGACACAGACCTTTGCCAAAGCAAAAAGGATACATAGATAGGCGCTGAGGGAATGCCCAACAGACACACAATACATGGATAGATGCTGAGGAGGGAATGCCCAACACTTCTGTCCAACCAGTTTGACCAACTAACTCACATTCAGATTCATATTTAGACCCAATGTTATGTGTGATTATGTCTTTCTGTTGAGCACCAAATCATAATTATACTGTCTCTAGTAACGAAACAGAGTGTTATTGATGTCTAGACTTTAGATGCGGAATAAATTATCCACAATTTTTTGACGGTTCTGTGTTTTGCCTTGTCCTTGTCAGCCGGAAATACCTCGACCCCGAGGGCGTCTGCTTCGTCCCTCGCGCGGGGTATCGGTGGGGTAGCTGCGCCACCCCTCCTGCGAGCCTTGCGCCCTCCAGCCCCCGGCGGCGGCGCTACCCCCTGCAACCGGAGCGGGGTACAGGCGCTCCAGGCCGGCGTATACTTGTGCGGGGTATCTGCTGTAGTAGTCTCTCGCAGTCTGCTGTGCCGCCGCGTCAAGGATGCTGATACAAGGGTGGAAGCGGCATACACGGTTGGGTAGCAAGAACCTGCTCAGGATCAGAAACGACCCCGATTCGACAGCACACCCTTATCAGCAAGCTCAGCGATCGCTGAGGGGGTCGGGTCGAGCAGTCTTCGTCTCACCAACTCGTCCAGCTCCTCACGTAAGTATCCCGCCAGCCCCGCTGCCGTCCGCCCGCCGTCCTCTCGAAAGTGTGACATTATTCAGCACGGGCGGTTTGTGCCCCTCCCCGCTGCTGTCGCTCCGGGCCGAGGTTATTTCCAGCCCTGCCAGGCACATCCCCCTCGTGCCCTGCCCGGCCCTGCCCGGCCCTGCCGCGGCTCTCGAGCGAGCACGAGCACGTCCGCTTCAACGGCCCCTGCTCCCGGACGGCCGTTGGTGAATCCATTCCGAATTTATGACGAACTGTGAAGCCGCGCGGCGTGGAAAGTGAAGAGGGGCGCGGGGGAGCGACACGCACACGCAGGTCACCAGGTCAGCGAGCCGCGTCGGTTGTTATTTTGTCGTATACTGTCTTTTCTTTCTTTCCCGCTGGCTCACCTGAACGTTTCCTGGCGTTTGCTGCGGTGGCCGCTCACCTGCTGTGGTGGTATTTTGTAGCGCCGACGACTGACTCCTCGGGGAACCGTTCCGTCGCGGCCGGCTGCTGTTATCGGCCGCCCTTTTACTCCCGCCGAGGGACCGCTTTCGATTAGTGCCGCGCTTGTTCGCCCCCCCCCCATCCCTCCCCCCAACGGGTACGGCACACATTCGGTAGTTACCCGCCTGGAAGTATGAGAATTTGGGGCCCACGGGTGCACGCCAGCCGCCTTGTGTTGCGCAAACTTAGTTATTTGGGATCCATAACTTTTGCCAAATGTACGCGCAGATGGTGCCACGCGTTGTGCCTTGTGAAAGGGGCGATGTACTACACTACCAGACTATTCAGGTACTACCTGTCAAAAGCAGAGTACAACAAAATGAAAATTATTTCCCTTATTAAAATTTCATCATTATTTTCCGTGAGGTGAGCGGCTCTCTCTTGTGCTACCAGGCCAGGGGGAGAGGGAGCCCGTCTGGCACTGGCACGGGGGACCGGAGGGGACCCGGGGAAAGGGGAGGGGAAGGGGGCACTGCAGACGAGAGGGCCTTCATTCGCAACGGAAATGTCAGCTACAGGCCAGCCCGGCCCGAGAGAGGCATTGCGGAGTCCGGGTTAGGATACTCAGCTTCCCGTGTCCGTCGGGTTACGGGCGAGAGGGGAAGTAAGA